CTTTACTATTATAAGCCATTGCTTGACCACTATGCCACCCGATGGTAATGCTGATGCAACCCAAGATGGTAAAGCGCACTGACTTAAAGAAGTTCATTCTTGCTTTTAATATGCTCACGTTTCAATCGTTGTATAGTTGTAGCACGAATGGGTCGGCTCAACCGGGGAAAGACCACGCTCTCACAGAATACACGCGTAAAATGACAGCTTGACACTGCTGTGTTTCGTATGGTGAATGTAGAGAACCGGAGACCCATTTTACTGGAAAAGAGGCATTCCATTTTAGTCCTCACGGGTGACGACGCATCTGCATTTTGATTCTTTATTGAGGATAGTGAAATGTAGATTGTCTATGGGTCACAGCAACCACTTACCATCAGGTGGACTGTGTGCTCGTTTGTCACCCTATCCTATAAAAAAAATCGGATGGATAGACATGCTGGCAACTTATTCACTTTCTTTGCGCACTCGTCACGAAAGGTGAAGGAAATCTGCCAACCAATGAGTTGCAAAAGCCACTTATTCGATAGCCTGTTATTTGATTTGTCTCTATTGTTTAAAAGAAATCCTGCAGTCTCTTACTCTTACACAAAGGAGTCCCATGGGAATAATTAGAGTGATGAATACTTTTATGCCTTTTTACATGGGCAAATGCTTAAGCATACCTAACTTGTGGAGGTAACGAAGGGTTACGTCGGACTCGCACCGACTAAAATTATGGGGTTTAGTCGGTTACTTTCGCTGCATAAGTATTGGAAGTCCACGGAAACGCTTTCGCACTCAACCGCTTCTCAATAAACGCCGGACGCCCCATCGCGGCCTCTCCTCGGGATAGAAGAGCTTCATATTCTTATATCCCAAGATAGGTGCACCAGAACACTAGGTGCGTCTTCCTCCGCGGCCTATAAATTCACGTAAGTAGCGGACTCCCCCGAGCCCCGTACGTGGAGGTTGAATCCTTTTACACTACCCCAAAATGGCAAATTACCTAATTTACTCCATGTTAATTTTTCAGCCAGCAGTGGCTAGATGACGTACTGCTTACGGTGACCACTGCTTCACGACGTAAGGATTCCGACAATAAATATAATATTCATGTATAGAACTTTTATGTTATTATTTTAATTTTAAGTGGACCCTGTACACTTGTACATATTGCTTTTATTTTGACTTTAATTAGACCCTACACATGGTAGAGTCTCGCTGGCTGCAGCATGTGTGTGTCGGCTTGACAGGGGAAAAACCACACTCGTACAGAATACCAGCGGGAAATATCATCATATTGTACAACTAGTTATTCCCCGCGACTTCGTTCGCATGTTAGCGTTTTTATGTTTTTGCGCGGAACCCTAATTCTTTTTCTAAAATAAAAGTAGCGTAAGTTACTTCTAATGAAATCAGCTACCTGCCAGTGAAAGTCCCGTCAAAATCGGTTTAGCCGTTTCGGAGATTAGCCAGAACAAACAAACAGACAGACAGACAAAAATTTTAAAAACTGTGTATTTGTTATAAGTACCGTATATACTTTCATATGCAATTAGTAAAAAGCTGTAATTTTGACATTACAAACAGACACTTCATTTTTATTTATTTGTATAGATTACAACTCCAGAGGAATTGGAGGCACGTTGTCGGCATTTTAAAAAGAGTAGGCTCTTTTCTCAGGTCCTTAAATCGTATCGGTCTGGTGGCACTGGTGGTAGCCAATTTTACAAAAAAATTGTCCGAGGAAAAAACTTCTGGTAAAGCGCACAATGATTGACCGCCAGTTCATATAAATAATTGGCGGTCTGGTTGGTATCGCGAAATTTGTCGCGATGTGCGATGGTGAAATATGCCGCATTTTTGTTAATAAACGTGACGCGAACTCTAGAACTCGTTTAATGGGAACGAGACATTTTGTCTTAGAATAGAACGGAATATATTTTTATTCAATATAGATTACTAGCAGTTCTTATTGAAAGTAGTTTTTTTTTTACTTTTACCATTGGTTCGGAAGGAAACGTCTATTCCGGGAAGAGACGTAGTAAGAAACCCAGGGGACTCTTTATGACTCCTCTTTTCCATTGTTGTCATTCCTAAAGATTACCTCAAGAGTTTCAACACATCTTCATTTTGATTCATTATCGAGAATAATAGATCTATATACTGCAGCATTCACTTATAATCAGATAGACTGTGTGATCGTTTGTCATTCTTACTTTGATAAAAATCCACAACTGAGCAGACATTTTTGCATAGATTTAAAAAAATTGGAAAATCCTAAACAATCTGTTTCAATATTTCAGTAATTACGTATTATTTCGGTGGTAGAGCCACGCTAGAGCAATATTAATAGTATAGTTGTAGCACGAATGGGTCGCCTCGACCGGGGAATTACGACGCTCCCACAGTACACCATAATAAAATAGCAGCCTAATGCTGCTGTGTTTCGTTTGGTGAGTGTAGAGAACCGGAAACCCTTTTTCCTGGAAACGAGGCATTCCATCTTATTCCTCACGGTGGACAATGGATCTGTATTTTATTCACAAACGAGGATAGGTGTGGATGTATGGCTACAGCAACAGCAACCACGTACCATCAGGTGGATTGTGTCCTCGATTGTCACCTTTATCCTATTAAAAAAAAATTGCCTTGCATGTTTTGTTGATGTAGTGGTCGTAAACACTGTTGCTAAGCATAAACATAAAGTCAGCCGTTATTAACAAGACGATGCTACCTATCTCTTGTATGGTTCCCTCTGTATCTTCGTACGACGCCTACAGGATATTCTTACGCCCTCACTACACGGTTAATGTCTGTTCTATACGTGGTAGCGCCAAGCTGCAGCTATATTAGTAGTATAGTTGTAGCACGAATGGGTCTGCTCGACCGGTATAGGACCACGCTCTCACAGAATACCAGCGTAAAATAGCAGCTTAACGCTGATGTGTTTCGTATGGTAGTGTAGAGAACTGGAGTCCCTTTTTCCTGGAAACGAGGCATTCCATCTTAGTCCTCACGGTGGACAATGGATCTGCATTTTATTCACAAACGAGGATAGGTGTGGATGTATGGCTACAGCAACAGCAACCACGTACCATCAGGTGGATTGTGTCCTCGATTGTCACCTTTATCCTATTAAAAAAAATAATTGCCTTGCATGTTTTGTTGATGTAGTGGTCGTAAACACTGTTGCTAAGCATAAACATAAGGTCAGACTTTATTAACAAGACGATGCTGCCTATCTCTTGTATGGTTCCCTCTGTATCCTCGTACGACGCCTACAGGATATTCTTACGCCCTCACTACACGGTTAAGGTCTATTCTATACGTGGTAGCGGCATGCTGCAGCTATATTAGTAGTATAGTTGTAGCACGAATGGGTCTGCTCGACCGGGGAAGGACCACGCTCTCACAGAATACCAGCGAAAATAGCAGCTTAACGCTGCTGTGTTTTGTAAAGTGAGTATAGAGAACCGGGGACCCTTTTTACTGGAAAAGAGGCATTCCATCTTAGTCCTCACGGGTGACAACGCATCTGCACTTGATTCGCAAACGAGGATAAATGTAGATGTCTGTGGGCCACAGCTACCACTTACCATCAGACTGGACTGTGTGCTCGTTTGTCACCCTATCCTACCAAAAAAATATGTGTGGTTGATGCGGCTTATGATCACCTACAATCAACTTCAAACAAAGAATCTGATATAAGTGTACCTCATGAAACAAGTTTGTAACTTTTTCATTAATTTAATTATTAATATGGCCGACGAGTCGTAACAAAATACAAAAAATAATAATGAACAAAATACAATGATATATATAAAAAAAATACAAATATAAAAATCCTCTATGTTACTTAATGATTTAAAATTTGCATGGTAATATCACAAAAATATTACGAAATGAGTTTTTAAAACAATTAAAAAGATCGTCTTTGAATATTAAGGTGGGTTCACACCAAAACAAAAGCAACAACACTAAATTCATGACAGGTTTTTAATTAAGCAAATAAAAAAAGTTATAACTTTTTGGGAATGTCTGTTTTCGTCGATAGCACTTTAATAATTAAATGTCATGATTATATTACGCTCAAGTCACTGCTTACATAATCTATGAAAATTTACTGTGATAAATGCACAATTTCTATATTTAAAACGTTTCGTTTCCACATACAAATACAGACGTTTTACAGCACGAGAAGTATTTGAAAAGAGATACCACGCATTCGAAGCAAATGGTTTGCTTTGTCGTTCATCGTACGTTCACCAAAGGAATGGGACAATCTGCCAGTTTCTGTATTTCCATTCGATTACGAGTCTTCAAGGCAAGAGTACGTCACCACTAATCATTGAACTTAGAACAGTTTCAAAAATACGGTACGGCAATTCACTAGGGTCTTAAATTGTTTTAAATATTCTATAGTCGTTGTAACTTGCCAAATGTTTGCCATATAGTGTGTTATAAAAACAATTTTTACATATACTCCGTGAGTGATCAAACGAATCGTAACATAGAACGAAACGTTTTATGAATACAGACAAATGGCATGTCTTTTCGTCATTCTTTCATTTTATATTACTTCTTATAGTCTTTTATTTTACCATTTGTTCGTTTAACTTTGAAATTTATTAGCCTGAAAATGATAAATACTTTTTACAAGGTACTAAGCAGAAAACACCATTTTGGTAGTCATAAACATATTATTTTATATTTAAAAATAATAAAAGTCTAATTCAACATGAAAAAGAAAAACAAAGTTTTGAGACACATGAAAACAATTAACGATGGTGTCATCTACCCCATTCTATCGTCTCTTATAACAATGAAAAATTATCAATTAATGTGAATAAGCCCTTAGAAAATGAATGAAGTTTTCGAGAGAGCATTTAAAAGTCAATTAATATTTAAGTAAATTGTCTACGTTTGTTCTTCTATAACCGGTATCTCGAATGGTTAGCAGTAACCTAGCGTAATTATTATAGCCCAGTCGATGTGTTCTTTGGAGTGATCATGTGTCAGTGGTCTAGTTCTTGTGGCTCCTGCAGGTGCTGCAGCTCTTCCAGGTGTTGTTTCTCCTCTTCCTCTCTTTGTAGCGCTTCCCTTTCTGCAGCGATGCGCGCGTGCTGCTCGGCTATAACTCGAAACAGGTTTAAGTGCTTTAAGGTTGCAGCTGCTACTGCTTCGGACTGCTGGGGGACCGAGGGTAAAACATCTGAAATATAATTATAATTCAAACTTATTTTTACATGATAAAGCCACACTGCAACTATTTTATGGTTTTAGCACGAATCGGTCGGCCCTATCAGGGAAGGACCACACTCTCGCAGAATACCAGCGTAAACTGGCAGCTTAATGTTGCTGTGTTTCGTATTGTAAGTGTGGAAAACTGGAGACCCTTTTTCTGGAAATAAAACATTTCATCGTAGTCCTCAAGAGTTCCTCGCGAGGACGCATCTGCGTTTTGATTCGCAACTGAGGATAGATGTGGATGTCTATGGGCCACAGAAACAACTTACCATCAGGTGGACTGTGTTCTTGACTGTGTCCTTGACACCCTTATTTTATAAAAAAAAAAAAAACAATTGTAACCACGTTCTCAGTTACCAGCGGTGCTTAATGTTTCAAGTCTTTAGTCACCGGGAAGGTAGTTTGAAATCCATCACTATAAACTCTTACGTCTGTTATTCGGAGGGGTAGGCAGAGACTATGGACTTTCATTTGGCACGACCTTGACACTCATCTCCCACTTTTTTTACATCAATATACGTACGTATACATGCTCGTCGGTTAATGGTACTCTTATTTAACCCATCTATACAAATAAATAAAATTGAAGTGTCTGTTTGTAATATCAAAATAACAGCTTCTTACTAAATACGTATGAAAGTGTATACGGTACATAAATTAAAAACACAATTTTTAAAATTTTTGTCTGTCTGTTTGTCTGTTTGTTCCGGCTAATCTCCAAAGTGGTTGGACCGATTTTGACGGGACTTTCACTAGCAGATAGCTGATGTTCTATGGAGTAACTTAGGCTTACTTTTATTTTAGAAAAAGAATTAGGGTTCCGTTAAAAACTGAACGCGCGCGTATTCGCAGGGATCAGCTAGTCTTTAATATATCGCCTATTTGGTCAATAAACTTCCCCTCCTTCTTTGGGGCCTCCCTTGTCGACTCTACCGCTCACGTTCTATGGGAAGGCCTATGTTCACTAGTGAACTTTGACAAGCTGTTAAGAATATCTGGTATGTCCCAAACAACTTACAGGCTGCCCTAAGCGTAGTCTTTAAGATTTTAAAGTCTCAATTTTGACCTCAATAGGATAGTACCTACGGTTGACTTATAACAGACTTCAGAAAAGTGTGTAGCAAATAATTTAGAAGCATTCAACTTACTTTCGGGGTGAGCATGTTCCTCAGCTATCTTTGAGTATAATTGGTAGTGTCTGTCCTTCGCCCGGGCAACAGACTCAGAGTCCTTAGGGTGTTCTGGTGGAACTTCACTAAGTAATGGATGGAAGCCCTCTTTATCCGCGACGTATTCCACTGTGCGGACTTTTTGACGGGGGTCCACGTAGGAGTATGAACCTGGAAGAAAATAATAATACAATTAAAACATACATATATGTATTAGCAATTATACGAACGGATCGCTATAGTAGCAATGGGCTGGCAGCTTGAAGAACCGACAACCAATGGCCAGAAAAGGTTCTCGAGTGGTAGCGTATGGGTAGGCGAAGTGTACGACTACTCCCCACTAAATGGAGTAACAGCCAGGTAAGACATGCAGGAAGTCAATGGTTGAGGAGCGATAAAATAAAATTTTTATCAAGGGTTCATTACGATTTTACGCCACTATAAAATTTGTTTTGAAGTTGATACTCGTATCATATTGTTCTCGATGTTTCCGAAAGGAAAAAGTATCACGAGAAATGTATATATGTATAATAATTATAAATATAAAGCAATAATTATAATTATAATGCATTATTTGGTATTGATATTTATTTGGGTAGTGGATATTCTTAACCGCCACTACACGGCAACTTGCTCTATCACCGGGGTGGGCGACCATCTGTCCCAAAGAGGTGTCGGATTTATCCGTTAACAACGTTGTAAAGATCGACAGTGTGTCGACGAGGGTTGCGTACCTTATACTCAGAATCACCAAACGGTATTCGCTGAAGGTCATACAGGTTTACGCACCAACCTCGGCACACCCCGATGAGGAGGTGAAGGAAATGTATGACGATATCTCTAGAGCCATGCATTTCCCCAAAACCCAATATACGGTGTTAATGGAAGACTTCAATGCAAAACTAGGCACAAGAGAGAACGGTGAGCTGAAAGTAGGAAAATTTGGAATAGGGCAACGGAACCCAAGGGGCGAGCAGCTGGCCGACTTCATGGAGAAAGAGGGACTCTTTATGATGAACTCTTTCTTCCAGAAGCGGCCCCACAGGAAGTGGACCTGGTCGAGCCCTGACGGTTCGACAAAAAATGAGATTAACTTCATTATGACGACCAGACGACAACTGTTCATTGATGTCTCCCTGATCGCGAGGGTGAAAACTAGTAGCGATCACCGAATGGTCAGAGACACACTGATTCTAAACGTTAATTTGGAGCGGTCTCGTCTAATGAAGTCAACGCTCCGTCCCCATCGTGCTCTGTTCCAAAGTCCCGAAACCTTTCAGGTCGAGTTACAAAACCGTTTTCAGTGCCTAGAAGACTGCAATGAAGTGGACGATATGAATGACTAGCTCGTGGAAACTGTCCATGCGGTCGGAGCTAAGTTCTGCAAGACCCGCCGCAGAAGAACACAAAAACTCTCCGATCACACTTTTAATCTCACGGTTAGACGGGAGATGAAGCTACATTATTCAACAGATTTGACAGCATACAGGCAACTGAACAGACAGATCTCCAAATGCATGTGGAGGGACTTACGCAACTTCAATACAGCTTGTATTGAAGAAGTGATCGAGCGGAACCAAGGCTTCAAAGTCTATGCCAGAGATCTGTCTGCCAGAAAGAGCCATCTGTCAAAGCTGAAGACCGAGTTTGGCAGCATCATTTCCGGGGCACCTGAGATTTTGGGTGAGATTGAGAGGTTCTATGGGCAGCTGTACACGTCATCGTTGGAGCCACACGCAAGTGTGAGTAACGATCCAAGAGCGAGTCTTATCCGACACTATTCCGAAGATATCCTGGACGTCAGTCTGAGTGAGATTAGAATAGCTCTCCAGCATCTTAAAAACGGCAAGGCGAGGATGGAATTACTGCGGAGCTTCTGAAAGCGGGTGGAAAACCGGTACTTGAAGTCCTTCAGAAGCTCTTTAATTCCGTCCTCCATGGTGGCATTACACCAGAGGCGTGGAGCAGAAGTGCGGTGGTCTTGTTCTTCAAGAAAGGTGACAACACTCTCTTGAAGAACTATAGACCAATTCCCCTTCTGAGCCGCGTCTACGTGCTGCTTTCGAGAGTCATTACGAACCGTCTCGCGCGCAGACTTGACGACTTCCAGCCTCCCGAACAAGCCGGTTCCCGAAAGGGCTTTAGCACCATAGACCACATACATACCCTTCGGTAAGTTGTACAGAAGTCCGAGGAGTACAATTTGCCACTATTTCTGGTGTATGTGGACTCTGAGAAAGCCTTTGATTCCGTCGAAATTCGGGCAGTGCTGCAGTCCCTAAAGCGGTGCCAAGTTGACTGTCGGTATATCGAAGCGCTGAAGTGCTTGTACAGTAGGGCTACGATGGCTATCCGAGTACAGAACCAGAGTACGAAACCTATCCAACTGCAGAGAGGTGTAAGACAGGGTGACGTCATATCCCCGAAACTCTTCACCGCTGCATTGGAAGATGTTTTCAAGCTTTTGGACTGGAAAGGATATGGTATTAACATCAATGGCGAGTATATCACTCACCTTCGATTTGTCAACGATATAGTCCTTACGGCAGAATCGCTGGAGGAACTTAGCACCATGCTCAATACACCTCAATAGTGTCTCCCAACGGATAGGTCTTAAGATGAACATGGACAAAACAAAGATTATGTTTAATGTCCATGTCACACCTATGCCGATAGTTGTTGGGAGCATTAAGCTCGAAGTTGTTGACGAGTATGTTTACCTGGGTGAAATAGTCCGGCTAGGTAAGCCCAACTTCGACCGAGAGGTCAATCGACGGATTCAACTCGGCTGGGTAGCGTTCGGGATGCTACGTCACATCTTCTCGTCAGACATACCTCAAAACCTTAAAATGAAATTGTACATTGATGACTGATACAGAGATGACTTACGGATCTGAGACGTGGTCTTTCGCTGCTGGCCGTATGAGGAAGCTCAAGGTCGCTCAGCGAGCTATGGAGAGGGCTATACTCGGTGTTTCCCTACGTGATAAATTTAGAAATGAGGATATCCGCAGTAGAACCAGAGTAATTAACATAGCCCAACGGGATAGTAAGCTGAAGTGGCAGTGGCCCGGCCATATAGCTCGAAGAACGGACAACCGATGGGGAAGAAAGGTTCTCGAGTGGCAGCCTCGTACTAGTAGGCGAAGTGTAGGGCGACCACCCACGAGATGGAGTGACGACCTGGTAAGACATGCAGGAATTCGATGGATGCAGGTGGCTCAGGACCATGCTTTGTGGCATTAAGTACTTGAGGGAGGCCTATGTTCAGCAGTGGACTTATGAAAGGCTGTAATGATTATGATGATGATGATTTGGTGGAAAATTAATATAAGAAGCTGAGCTAATTAACTTTCTCAACTTCAATTCATTATAAGTACTACTTTGTATAATGATTGTAGCACGAATGTGTCGGCTCGACCGCGGTAGGACCACGCTCCCACAGTACACCAGAATAAAATAGCAGCCTAATGCTGCTGTGTTTCGTTTGGTGAGTGTAGAGAAACGGAGACCATTTTTACTGGAAACGAAGCATTCCCTCGCAGTCCTCTGGGGTGACAACGCATCTGCATTTTATTTTTTAACTAAGGATAAATGTAGATGTCTATGGGTCACAGCTTCCACTTTCCATCAGGTGGACTGTGTGCTCGTTTGTCACCCTTGTTCTATAAAACAAAATTTTTATAATTCTTTTATCATTATAAGCATTGTAATTTAAAATGCTGAGAATATGCCCATTTATTTTTAATCTTATCTTATTAATATAAAATGTAGCTAATAGTGCAGAAAGAAATAATAGTGGCGCCGCCCTGGTGGCAGAAAAGTTGTGGATGCCCTCATTTCCTCTACGAGGCAATCAATGGGGAGAGGGAGGGCTGTGTTCAACACTGTAATTTGTCTTTTTTTCAAGGTATACGCACGAAAGAGTCGACTAGTGAACGTACAATCAAGTGTTATTATTTTTTGTTAGAAACATTCGCTATGCGCATTCAGTAACTCACCAAAGTTTCATCGTTCATGCGGTTAAATGGTATAGGAACGGATACGGGACAAACAAAAATTATTTTTTCATATTATACTAGCTCGCCAGCCAGACGTTGTTCTGCCCTTTCCGACGACCCTTCCTATAAAAATCCTTAAATTCGCAATAAAAATTTTTGAGGATCATTTAGCGGGATACAAACTATCCTATCTCTCAAGTTAGACCAAAACGCACACAGTGTGCAAAATTTCATTGAAATCAGTTCAGTAGTTTAGGAGTCCATCGCGGACAAACAACGTGACACGTAATTTTTATATATAAAGATTTGGCTTTGAATTATAAATGTATATATGAAGGCTGAAGGTAACTATGAAGGGACGCGAGGGATCCGCCCCGACTTCGATATGATATGATATCACTTCGCACGTGTGATTTCTGGATCTCGACAACAACACCACCTACCAAGTCCAAATGTAAATCTATACCATCTAGAGACCTATTGAAACACACACAATAAATTTCATCAAAGTTGGTCAAGCCGTTTTTGAGTTTTAGGGAGACTACGGGCACAACAATTGATTTTTATAGAGATTGAGTTTTTATTATTTAATTTTTTATTTGTTAATTATTACTTTTGACATGTTTATATCTATACAAATAAAAAAAGTGACTGTTTGTAATGTCAAAATTACAGTTTTTTACTAAATGCATATGAAAGTAAATACGGTACTTATATCTAAAATACAATTTTTAAAATTTTTGTCTGTCTGTCCGTCTGTCTGTCTGTTTGTTCCGGCTAATCTCCGAAACGGCTGGATCGATTTTGACGGGACTTTCACTGGCAGATAGCTGATTTAATAAGGAGTAACTTAAGATACTTTTATTTTAGAAATAGAATTAGGGATTCGTGCAAAAACATAAAAACCCTAACACGCGAGCGAAGTCGCGGGGACAGCTTGTCTTAAATGAAATGAAATGAAATATTTATTTGCATGAAATATTTGATATTTTTTTATAGAATAAGGGTGAAATAATGGTGCTTTAATGATGATAGGATAATAAGTATTAATATGTTACTTTTTTAAAACAAATATTTCAAAGTAACAAAAACAAATTTGCATGTCTTTACCAAAGACTTAATGTTTAATGATATCTCATGTAGCATACAAAAATGCAAATTAATAAATAAATACCTTTGACTACGCTGCCATCACTGACTTCCGAGTGCTGTCTGTCCGTGTGGCCCGGGTACCTTCCAGCGGTGTAGGAGAATGAGTACGGAATTGGTGGTGGCTGCTCCGTTTTGGGTTCTTCTAGGATATGAGAGACATCACAACTGGTCAACGCTACTGTTGCCAGAAGTAGCAGGAGCTTGAAGTGCAGCATCTGGAAATACAAAATTTAATATTTAATAAATAAATAAAATTAACAGCGTGATAATCAGCCCGTAGAAGTCCACTACTGGAAATTTTCGCACTTGGTAAAAATACGCTGCAGCTATAATATGGTTGAAGAACCAATGGGTCGGGAAAGACCACGCTCTCAGTAAACAGCTACAGAATACCAGCATGAAATAGCAGTTTAATGCTGCTGTGTTTCGTATGGTGCGTTTAAAGTCCTTAAGACCCTTTTACCAGGGAACGAGGCATTCAGCCTGAGGAGTGCCGACGCATTGTACATTTTGATTATAAATCGAGGATAGATGTAGACATATACGAGTCACCGCATTCAGTTCCCATCAGTTGGACTGTGTGCTCGTTTGTTACCCTTATCTATACAAATAAATAAAATTGAAGTGTCTATTTTTGTAATGTCAAAATAACAGTTTTTTTTTACTCAATTCATATGAAAGTATTTACAGTACTTATAACAAAAACACAATTTTTAAAATTTTTGTCTGTCTGCCTGTTTGTTCCGGCTAATCTCCGAAACGACTGGACCGATTTCGACGAGACTTTTACTAGCAGATAGCTGATATTAAAAGGAGTAACTTAGGCTACTTATATTTAGAAAAAGAATTAGGGTTCTGCGCAACATAATTAAAACCCTAAATTACACGCAGGCGAATTCGCGGGGAACAGCTAAGTCTATGATAAAATGGTCATCGCCCGCTGTAGAGAGATTTTGCTCTCCTCATTACGCTTGGATAAACACCTTTGACGTTGTTTCTTGTTCAGCATTTTAACGTGTGACGTAATGGTATACCAGTATCTTTCAGAAGCCAAAAGATTTTTCTGGTCTTTCTCATATTCGACACCAACGGGACAAGAGGGGTGATTGATACACTTATATTGCCACCACATGACAAAACATTTTATATTATAGTTTATCATCATCATCGTCATCATTACAGCCCTTCACAAGTCCACTGCTAAACATAGGCCTTCCCCAAGGAACGCCACAAAGCACGGTCCTGAACCACCTGCAGCTATCAACTTCCTGCATGTCTTATCAGGTACCACTCCATCTAGTGGGGGGACGCTCTACACTTTGTCTACCGGCAGCAGGCAAATACTCGAGAATCTGTCCTCCCCACCGCTTGTCGGTTCTTCGAGCTATATGGCCGGCGCATTGCCACTTCAGCTTACTAATCCGTTGGGCTATGTCGGTAACTCTGATTCTACTGCTAACAAACTACTCATTGCTGGACTATAGTACGTAGGTGATACAAATGCATCTATCAGCATCATGTTGCGGTGTGTGATATGCAGTATAGGGAACGATAATTAGAAACAGTCCAGAGAGCAATTAAAGTAGGAGCTGTTCTAACCACAAGTATAAATTACTTAAAAATTTCGTATATACGAGCTTACAGTATCTTGAAGTCTTCCAAGCATACTACTGCAAGACTTCAAGATATTATAAGCTCGTTCTGCGTAGATCAGACCAAAAATTAATAATTAAAAGTTAAAGGTAGCCTTCGTTAACTATGACACACTCGTGACCATGGGTGCTGAAAAGTTCCCGAAAGGTCGGGAATTAAAATCGTTAAAAATAAACGATAAAATTCGTAAAATTAGTTTTATTCCACACTAGCTGTACCCGACGCGTTGATGCCACAGAAAAAAAAATTGTCTAAATATCGTTTTAAATTTCAAAGAGTCATATTGTGTCATTAGGAATGATAATACATTCATTGAAGCTGAATGATGTATAAATTTTTTGGTACGATATGCGCGCCACCTATTGTAAGTTGATTGTACTATGCCTATAACCTTCTCTCAAGTGGAATCAATAAGTTGATAAAGTTTTAGCTCTGATGGCAGCGCATAGAATACGAACAATCAAAAATTAATTTTAATATATTAGACAAATTGATTTTCAATCGGAAATCGTCCGTTTTTACAAATTATCTGGTCATTTTATTATATAGCACTTTATAGTATTTTAATAATTTCCCTTTTGTAGTATATAGCCCTTTATAGTATTTTAATAATCTCCCCTTTTGTAGTGTTCGACCTTGAACTCTAGTCTCTCCCTCTCACTTAAGATAGTTACTGTTTCTTTCCCCCTTGTTGTGCATAATTCTGTCATGAGTATACGTATAGCACTGATTTCGGTAAGTCACTGGTTGGACACACTGAAAATCAGCGCCATGGAGAGAAAAAAAAGAAATTCATGGCATTATGCTGAGTGTGCTCCTGTTCCCAGATGACGCCTTGACACATATGAGTATTGGTATTGTATAGTTTGTAATATGTAGTATATTGTAATTTGTATTGTATAGCCAATATTATTTGTAAATTATGTGTTTCTTTTTTATGTTATCTGTGATGACGTCATTTTGGAGAATAAACCTTTCTTTCTTTCTTTCTTTATCTACATTACCAAAAGTGTTTGTTGGTCGAGTAGCCTCTCAAGTGTCATGACACCCGTAGAGGGCTGACAGCGCTTGCAAGCCCGTGTGTCAGCCGACCCCGTGTGCCTATTTCTCAATTAAACGGGCCTTTAATCTGTGTTGTTCAAAGATAATACGCTGTTTTAATCTTTGAAGAACACGGACTAAAGACAAGGCCAAACGTTTTCGAAATGAACATTTTCGATTATTTTAACTTGTTTTTATTTTGCCGTGTCCTTTCACGCGGCAAAATAAAAACAAGTTAAAATGTAGATAATAAAAAGTTTGTTGCGTGAAAAAATGTATTGATGGGATATGATATTTTAATATATTTTGATATAATGTTGCATTTTTAAGCAAATAAAACAAATACCATTTTATATAATGGCTTAATTTCATAATCCTTGCACTTTATGTACAAGAAACCGGCAAAATTACGTCACGCAATTTTGAAATGAGATTAATAATATTATAAAAATAGAATTTAATATTTATAAACAAGAATCAAATATCTTAATTCATAACGAATCGGTACGTATAAGTTTTATATGTAGCTGGCATACAAAAGTAAAAATATACCATTATTTACATTAGCGCGCAGTATCGTATCATTACAGTATCGCGCGATCTCCCGGACGGCGCCTGACACTTGAAGAGTATAAACATATATCGGTCGGGCACATGAGGGGGCAGGTAATTCCCGCCTAAATTCAAACCATATTACAAATGAAATAAAATAATTGTAAAATAAATCTGTATTTTTGGAACGAAGTTCTTTATCGGATGGTACGGATTTGACGGATGGGGGCTAGGCGACAAAAAACGTGTAAAATTTTTCCGGCACGACCCCTGCTGACGTAGTGTAGACGGCCTTGGCGTCTATAAGGAGCAAGATGGAATAATATCCATCTCCCTCGCACTTTTTCTTATCTTGCCATGTGTAGTGTAGTATAGCCCCGACGACTATATTTATTAGTGTTAAGGTAGAATAAGGACATTATAATTAAAGTTATAGAAGCATCAACACGCCTCTTCTTTTATTCATATTCATTTATTTTTCGTCACATCCGGTATAGCGTTCATTCTGTTATAATATAATTTTCTTTTTAAATGGTTCTCTTTCCGAAACCCTTAATAAAAAAATTCGATATGATTCCTTTTTTTTCTAGGAGAGGGGGCAAATGAGCATGCGGCTCACCTGATGGTAAGTGATTACCACCGCCCATGAACAACTGCAACACCAGGGGAACCAGGGGAATTGCAGATGCGATGCCGGCCTTTTAAAAAGGAGTAGGCTCTTTTCTTGAAGGTCCCTAAGTCGTATCGGTCCGGAAAAATCGCTGATGGTAATCGATGGTAATCTTTAAAAATATGTTTTATTCAAAGGTCGCCATGTGATATAGGTAATGTGTCAATGAAAAGATGCGTGTTGATGCTTCTATAACTTTAATTATAATGTCCTTATTCTACCTTAACACTAATATATATAGTCGTGGGGGCTATACTACACTACACATGAAAGAAATATTATTTTATTTTAAATGACGCTTCATTTTAATAAACGTTACGTATGATTCGTTTATTTGTATTTGTTAATCAATAATATAATACGTTTATCAATAATAACATACTACGAAAGGAACTTCGTTCCAACCGAGTGCTCCACGAAACTCACGCATGTTTTATTTATTTAAGTTTCTACCTTAGTCCAATACAAGCATGGGCCCAGCATGAACAAACTCAAAATATGTTAGTTTGAAGATTTAAACATTTGCTACTTATATTAAAAAATCATATTTATGCAGCGCCTGGGGTTTTGTTTTCATTTTATGTTTCATGATTTGTAGGTTATATATTATTCAATATAAAATATTAATCATTCGTTCTTGTGATAAGTTGTTTAAATAAATTGAAAAAAAAAAACAAACAATAGAATGCAGTTTTGTAGTTATTATTAAATAAAGTAAAATAAAACTCAACCTTTTTAAATTGTTTGACTATTTTCTGCAATTATCAATAAAATGTCATCTAAAAAAACAACCAGAGGCTGTAAATTGTCTGTTCTATTCCTCTCATAACTTAAGTACCTCATTATTTTCATTATGTGGGCGCAACAAACTACTGTCCTGTGATCCAAGAGAAAATCCAAGGGTCAAGTTAAATAAATCTACGAAAGTAAAAACACGATAACTATCCAAAAAAAACCGCTACAATGCCAAATGCACATGCCGCATGACAAGCTGAAACTCGAAGTTACCAAGTTAAGTCTCCATCGGAATATGCAATGATCAACAACCATACAGCTTATTCAGTCGTGTAGGATAATATTCAATCGTTTTCTAAATATTAATTATATATTTCAATACCAATTATCTACTACAGATTCGCGTCAATGTTTCAATACTATGTTTTTTTTTTTTGATAAGGTAGGCTATTTTATAATAAAAATAGCATTCATTATCTATTTCCATAGACAAAATACAGAAAGATATTTAAGAACGTTTCGTTTTTGCTAAAGCAAAAGCATTAGTTTTCTATTCAGTTTAAA